CTACAAAATGATCCTGAGGACAACCCAAGCACAAGAAAATCAACAAGTGGATTCATCGTGACAATGATGGGATCCGTGGTACAATTTGGAAGCAGAACACAAGCAGTAGTAGCACTATCATCAGTATCATCAGCAGAATCAGAGCTTTATGCAATCGGCACAGGAGCACAAGAAGGACTACATATAGCAAACTTCATCAAGGAAGCAACAACAACAAAGGTGAACATTCGCATACACACCGACAGTACAAGCGGCAAGAGCATAGCAACAAGAATCGGCTCTTCAAAGAAAGCAAAGCACATTGACCTAAAGTACCTCTTCATACAACAACTGGTACAAAGCGGGATACTATCAATACACAAGATCAGTACACACGACAACCCAGATACTGACAAAGTATGTCCCGGCAGAGGTGCTTAACAAACACCTCTACATGGCGGGCCTTCAATGCCCACAACATCACAACTGAACAACGGCCGTACCAACAGTTTCGCAACCATGGCAGCATCCATGCGTGTACAATACACACACGGGGGCATCAAGCCATGGCACACTACTTTAGTTACTATGCGCATACTATGTCATAGACAATATGTACTACAAGATCTTTAGTCTCACGATGGGCCCGACTTTCCGTGTTTGAAGTTTTGCTTTTGAATTTGGATGACAATGCATGTTTAGTTGACAATTTGTCGACAATCTTTTTGACCGCAGCCGCTTTCAAGCTCACAAGCTCTGACAAGTGAGATCGACTTTCTCAAGGACAATTTCAAAGGCATCAATGGCAGTGAAGATGACAATCCCCGACTACCACAATCAGCGCAGGTTGCCGACGAACTCGACAATCTCCCTGTGGGAGGACAGGGCGATTCTCTACAATGAGGACAAGGTTGAAAGCCAAATCCTCCTGCCTTCGAGCTACAAGGACGGCGCTTGGAGCGATGTCTTGGACAATATCACGCCGTACTGGTTTGCAGCAGTCACAATGGCAGAGTATACAATCATGTTGAATGAGAACAACGAGATTCACAAGCTGCCGGGCAAGCTGCGGAAGCCTGGAAATTGTGAACAATTCATCATGGTCCCCCCACAACGGAGGAAGCGGTTCAATGGCTCGCTTACCATCAATAGATGGGACACACAATGACGAGCGAGGAAACAGTTGTTTTGGCAATCGCCTTTGATCCACACAATATGGTGCATCATATGTCACAAAAGATGTTGTCGTCATTCCCGAGAGGATACAGCGTCCAGGTTCTACAAGTTCAGGCGCCCTACGACTATCACTTCACGGAAGCAGAGAAGAACAGTTTGCGGGCGCTTCACCTGAACTACAATGCGGCCAACAAGTTCGACAAGTACAACTGGTCGAATGGCTGGATTTGGAACTATGGACATACAATGCATGTGAGGACAATGCTGACCATCTCAGCGGATTCTCCTCACCATACAATCTTCGGGATGGCTTTGGCACATCTTAAACAGTTTGGCCAATCTCAGCTCCTGCCAGATGTACAATTGGCCCTTGGCGTGTACAAGGCGGACAAGAAGATTGACACGTACCATGTGACAATCCCGAAAAGGCATCAGCGCGGTCATCCAGACCACAGCTCCTACATCAAGGAGCGCGACAGGACAATTGAGCTTGAGAAATCTGAAGATGAAGAGGAAGAGAAAGGGACAAAACGTCCCAGACAATCTTCGGAAGCTCCAGAAGACCAGATGGCTGACATGGAGGGCTAAAACAATGGCTCAGCAATCTGCAAATCTCTGGCAATGATAATGCCATACGCGCACCACGATGAGAAGAGGAACAATGCTGGAGAGACAAAGGCAGAAAAGCTGTACAGACTTGCCTACAATTTTTGAACTGCTTTGTACAACAATGTTTCTTTACGGTTTCAACAATGTTTGTATGGATGGTGTGATTCAACAAGGAATCAAACCAAGGGACGGTGTCAAGATACAAGCTTTTGTACAATAGCATACTTGCTCTATCGTAGTGTTCATGTAACAATGGCTTGGTGCTATGCAATGCACCTTGGATCAAAGGCCTTGAGCCTAGCTCAGCCTAAGGACAATTGCCAGAGGAAAACAATACAGTGACGTGCACAAACAAACGACAAACAAACAGCTGCTGAATTTTATAGCTCTCCCCCTCCTCTCCCTCTCTCCCTCTCTCGCTCGCTCTCTCGCTCTCTCCCTCGCTCTCTCGCTCTCTCGTTCTCTCCCTCCCTCTCCCTCTCTCCCTCTCTCGCTCTCTCCCTTTTTTTTTTTGCTCGGTTCTTTTCCAGCTGCAAGCTTCAATGCCATGGCTCTCTGGCCAAAAATGGCATGAGACCTAGGCTCCTTCTCCTTGTAGTCTCCTATACTCTAGCTGTCAGAGTTGGGCCCAAAGCGAAGCTTACATTGCTTCGACCCTCCTGTGCATCCACCGGCCAGCCAACTCTGAACTCTGCAATGGATGATCTTTGTGACACGGTGGCACCGTTGGCACTCAAGCCAGCTTCCCCTCTGCCACAGGCTGTGTTGAGGGTTGATCTTGGTGCGGACCTCCAAGTCCTTCGTATCAACCGGGCCATACACACAAGGCTGTTCACTCAGCTTTTGGAGCGCCTCTTTGCTGCAGCGACCAGACACTTTCTGCCAACATCGGGAGCATCCAGATGAACTAGGCCGGCTAAACCATCTGCGCCCACCCTGGCTGTCAGCTAGTGCCTCTGTGGTGGCAATCATGTCTTTCTTGATCTGAGTGAGGGTGCGACACATCTCCCCTGGGCATGTGGTGGCCTGCTTGCTGGAGATCTCCGCATGCGTGGAGCACCCTTTGACGTGAAGACCACATTGCTGGCATCTAATGCCATGCCCTTGCAGGACCCACTGATGCTGGCCAGCTTGATGCTCCTGCTGGGTCAACTTGCGGAGAATATCAAGTCTGCCGCGCGGCCGGTCAGGCCTGACCTGAAAAGGAGTGGGAACAGGAGCAAGCTTGCCATGCATGTAGTGATCAGGGTCAGTGAGGAGCTGACTGATTCTCTGGGCCGCTACTTCATAAATCTCTTGGCGCCATAGGTCATCAGCCTGAAGCTCCTTTTCCAAATCCCCAGGTGCAATGCGGTGCACACGGCTCAAAGCACACATGCTGGCCTCTTGAAACTGGAGCCAAGCCCTTTTGTCATCCCCAGTTTGCTGGAGTAACTTCTTGGGCACATGAAGGACTTTGAGCCTGCTCCATTCTGCTTCTGGTAGACTGTGCCACAGGTAAGGGGCGCACGTGCCACGTCCTCCTTTGTTGATGGCTGCCCATCCCGCTCTGTTGGCCACATTGACCTGATGGCGGCCCAGGGTGGCTTGGAGGAGCAACCAGCATCCAAAGAACCAGGCCCTTGCTTCCCGTAGGTTCACCTGGGGCGATACACGTGCACTTGCCAGTGAGCTGCCATGAGCCATCTTGCCATGCTCCAACAATGAGCGCAACCACGTAGCGCCGCAATCTTGGATCCCTGCTTGTGGGTTTGACCCAATGGCAAGCCGCTGACTGGGAGTGACACGCACTGGCCAGCCATGTGCAAACACACCGTGAACTTCCAGAGAATCCATGCCAACTGTCAGCCTGTAGTCCGGCACTTCCACAAGGCCTCGCGACCACAACATGGTATTCTCATTGGCCTGGATGTTCTGATCCCAGGCAGCAGGCAGCGGCTTGTCATGGTACTGACACTCCCAAATCAGGTGTTTCATAGTCACAGGGACATTGCACAATGAGCACAAGACTCGTTCTCCAGCTGTATGCGTGCGCAATGAGCCTTGGGTCCAAGCATCAACTGCAGTTTTAGCCACCCCTTTGAGCTTGCGCATCACACGATGGTAAACAGTCCAGTCAGGCTTCCGCATCATTGGAAAACAGTGCTCAAGCTCCTACGTTTTGAGACAATTATATACGGTATATGTATATATATATATATGTGTGTGTGTGCCCCTTGTAGTCACAGGGATTCTTTTGAATTGTTTTCGTTTTGTTTCAAGCAGGGGGATCACCCACGAACTTGACTGGTGATCCAACGAAGAGGGTCAAGCTCCGTGCTGATATCTGGCCTGATCAGCGATTTTTCCGATTCTTCCGAATGGCATGAGGCTAAGCCCAGAACCTCAATAGCTGCAGACAAGAGCGATCGCCGTCACTTCGACCTGTCCGTCGTCTCGTGGCTTTGGAACTTTGGCCTTTAACTACAGGCGCTCAGGCCCCCTCACCTGGTTTTTCAGGATTTGGGCTGGCGTGTGGCACCGCTGTCAAGTCAGTACGCATATCCATGAGTGTGTGTGTGTGTGTGTCACACTAATTATCCTGTGTGTCACAATAATTATCTGACAGGTGAATCCTTGCATTTCATGGATATAAATTCAAACACACGGTCTCACACTATGAGATAGGTCACCCGTTTGTTTTATCTCACACTATGAGACAAATCAAATGTTTGTCGCATAATGGTATGCGACAGATCAGTGCTCATGATCTGAGGTCATAACACGATATGAAGTATGAAGTGTATCTCATACTTTCGGATGCAAAAACAAAACTATATGTACAAATGAATGTGGCCCGATATCACTCAGACTAGCCAGGATTAATGTGAATTCATCTTGGTCAATCTGGATGAGTCACAAACAAATGAACACTGTGTTTTCCATGCTAGTCTCATCAACCAAGTAGTCCCCAAATCATGGTCTTTTTGTTTTTGGGTGGGTTTCCGCATAGGGTAGGGTAGAGGCCTGTTGCAAGCAGCGGTTTCTGCACCAGAAGAACAGTTCAATATAAATTGTGAGCAGAAATCACACGCTCACAACAATCCTTTGTGTGTTTTTGGTGTTCTTCTTATCTTGCGTTCTCTGTCTTGTTTGCTTTCTGTGCCTCCTCTCTCTCTCTCTGTCTAATTTCTTGCGCTGCGCGCTGTGTCCTGATGTCACAATTTCCGCCGCAGCTGTCCACCACACCCTCCCACCTGCACAATCGTATCTGCATCCAAATATATAACAACCTTGGGCTGCTCTAAGATTGCAGCAAGTCTAGCTTCAAATGTCATTGCGGTTGAAAGTGTTGATAAGGCGCCCACTGCCCTCTCCAGAATCAAATGCATATAAAAGCGCGCAAAATTTTCTGGCGTATCTATCGCCCCTCGCTCCTGGCACTCACACGGACGTTCTCTTTCTCACCAGAACTTCCCACATCTCAGCTACAATGTCCACGCGTCAAATCCTTGAACTGACCCAAACTATGAGTCCTTGCGTAAATTTGACGAAACCTTTGCCACTGATTTCTCAATTAGGCGTCCATCAACCTCCGGTTCTGATTCACAAATTGGAGATGAAATTTCAGAAGAAAACGCTACAGCGCGCCAAGCCACGGCATGAACCTTGATGAGAACGCCCGTCACGCTGACAGTTGCTTGGCACTCTGGACGAATTCCAAAACGCATCTGCCAAACAATGCAAGGCAGTACTCTGTGCTGATAGTTGGACACAAATTTTGTCCTGCCTTGAAGTCATTCAAAGACTGCGCTTGCACAATGATGTGAATTGTTAGCTCATCCGGTGATGCTGTGGATGACACAACAGATGCCACGCTTGCCTGGACTCCTTGCAAGCTTGTGTTACACACGCACACTGCACAACAAGCTGCCTGGAAGCGCCTTCTGCTTGGTTTGCATCAGATGCAAACACGACGTGGAGCATGTCAGGACCTCAGACTCAGGGATGGCGAACATAAGGGTCCATGATCCAAAGCGGTCTGAGCCTCTGACTGTCAGCATTTGGGTGTGTGTCGTGGCAATCTGTATCACCTGCGCTACTCCCTTCTTCAGGGTCGGTCTCTTGGTTGTCTGCATCTCCTGCCACTTGAATTGACACAGTACTTCAATCAATATCTACAGAATTGAAAAAGCACCAGCACCGATGTCCTTGCGACAAGCCTATCATGTCAAGTGGCCCTTCTGATGCAAATGATCCTGACCAGCCTGCCCAACTAACAGTCCATGGCTATCGACATTTGCTTGCACACTGGGTGTTTGGAGGCGTTGCCTTCGGCAGACGACGCCGTAGGCAGTGGCAACGATATGGGCGAGACAGCCGGCAGCCCAGGGCTGGCAAGGAGTTTGCGCAATTGTTGGTCCAGCAAGCCTATCCGTTGCTGACTGTTCTTGGTGGTGTCCTAAGCAATGCCACAACACAAAAGCACCACTGCTGTGCCACACTCATCCAACACCGCGCCAAGTATCATCACCATATGTCTGCATCGCTCCATTGTGCACCCGCCACAGAAAACCAAACCCGCATAAGCAAGCAATGGCACCAACAAGCAACAAATATCGCGCAGCTTGGCCGAACCAGAATGACCGACGAGACCTTGCCTTGGTGCCACGAAAAAAATAAACACTTTCAACGAGTGACCTGCATAATTTTGCTGCAAATCTCTCTCAGGTCGAAACGGTCATGAAGCCGGCATGTTTAGCAACTCAGGTTGGGCAGTCAAACCATGGCTAACAGCGACGAACTCAAAAAGAACTTTGTAGAGCCATGCGATGCCATGCGTATTCAGAACCATTCTGTTTTGAGTGCAAAACCGGTGGCAGAACATTGCCGCTGATTTGCTTTGGCAAACCCGTCGCAAACTGAGATCTTGAGCATGAAATGCACTTGCAACAATCTGAACATTTTGATTCCAACATGCTCACATCCGCTCGCGGCCAATATTGTGCCCTGGCAGGTTTGTGTTTCATATGCCCCTCGGCCCGCACATGACAAGAAGAACCTTTGAGGGATCACCCCACCTTCCCCCACTCCCAATCACCCCCAGTCTTATCTATTTGGTGGAATTGTTTTTTTCCAGCGGAAATTTTTTCTGGGCGCCTTCAAGGCCTCAAGGGTGGAGGGGAGGCGGCTGGCCGCAGAATGCAGGGCTGTCGGTAACGATGGGGCCCGGTAGCGTGCCTGTTGGCGCCTGAGGGCGGCAGCGAGCGCTGCGCCACCCCACGGGCAATCTGAAGTAAAGTACCCCACCCATAAAATCATGTCACACTCACAGGCTGCCCGCAAAGGAGCAAATGTTGTTTGCTCTTGAAGCCGAGGGAACTATTATAACCTTATGTTCGGTCATACCGCATGTTTCGTCCATCGAAAAAATACGCTTAATCGTCGGCGTCTACAAGTCTACGGAAAAAAGTCATTTCACTCCTTGAAAGTGATTGCTCGCCAACCGCGTATCACCGGTTGGCAATGTGAGGTTGGACGCCTTCATGCGGATGGACCGTCCTTTTACGCCCCTCAAAATTAACATAGGACCTGACAACCGAGGCCGCCCCCGGTGTTCTAATTTTTGTGTGGCGGGAGGGGGCGCCCTCACGACCTCTACCCCGGCCGGGGCCCCGGGGGGGAGGGGGCGGGCACGACTATTACCACTTCCTCGTAGCACAGAACCCTTCTTACAACCCCTCGTAGAACGGAATCCTTTTCAAGTGCCTCGTAAAGCATGAACCGTCGCGGTGAGTGTCTGAACACTAAAACAATTACAGCGCCATGCCCCCCCCCAAACCCCCCCGTGCCACCACCTCATCTCATTCCCTGCGCCTGCCACTCATTTGCTTTGCACTTGAAACCTGCACGGCATACGTGACCGCCACACACAAGCCGACGTCCGACAAGCTCGGTACGCAGTAGAATGGGGATGGCCACGGCTACTACGACTTCCTCGTAGCACAGGATCCTTCTTTAAGGCCCTCGTAGCACAGGATCCTGTTTCGTAGCACAGGATCCTTCTTTATGGCCAGAAGGGTTCGAGGAGGGGAGAGGTGGCCACGACTAGCACTATTTTTCCCAGTTTGAGGGGGGGAGGCCCACTACTAACTACTACTACTACTATTACTACTACTACTACTACTACTGCTACTACTACTACTACTTCCTCGTAGCACAGGATCCTTCTTTAAGGCCCTCGTAGCACAGGGTCCTTCTTTATGGCCTGTACGAATTGTTCGAGGAGGGGAAGGTGGCCACGACTTCTACTACTTTTCCCAGTTCGAGGAAAAGGGAGGCCTACGACTACTACTACTTCCTCGTAACACAGGGTCCTTCTTTAAGGCCCTCGTAACACAAGATCCTTCTTTAAGGCCCTTCTTTGCACAGGATCCTTCACATTGTCTCCAAGAAGGGTTCGAAGAGGTGGGGGGGTGGCCACGACTACTACTTTTCCCTGTTCGAGGGAGGGGGGGGGCCACGACTACTACTACTACTTTCTCGGGGTGTCCTGTGACAACCACCGGGCCGTAATTTTTGAATGTCCGATTTTCAGGTTCCATGTCAAAATTCCCGGGTGTATCTGACAAAGGTTGGGCACACTTGCCTCTAGGGCGTCCTCTCCTGCGCCATGTGCGAAACACAGCTGTCCAACCGGTGTGACACCGTACGGCTGGGCACTAGAAATCGAAAGCAACGGTGGCTAGCGGCCCACGATTCCACGTTAACATTTCACGTGCTACGGACGAAAACGTGAAGCGCGAGCAGGCTGCGCATTTAGGTTCAAAAAGCCGGTCGGCAGGACCGGCTTTTAGGTCACTTTCGCATCGGGGGCCACTTACGCCCCTTACGCATCAGAGGGTCACTTACGCATCGAAAATGTGGGTCACTTACGCATCGATGGCAATAATGGTCGGCACTAATGGAGTGATTAGCCCGCGGCCACCATGGGAAGGTTTGGGGGGGGTGGGGGGTGTAATAGAACGATTGGCCCATGTCCACATCATCACATCCGCGCACAACCGACACACACGGTTCTGTATGATCTAGGGATGTCCATGTCCCTGTGATTTAACGCTTGTTATCGATTTGATATGTCAAATAATTTGCGATTCGCGTGCGGAAGGGTCGGAACGGTCCAATGGAATGATTGACCCATGGCCAAAACATCACGTATTACATCCACGCAGAACCAACACACACACAGAGTTCTTTATGATCTAAGGATGGCCTGAGTCGTGTGTATGTGCGTGTGTGCGTGTGTGTCAACACCTGTCCCTAAGGTTTCTGCATTCCATGTGTAGTTTGATTAATTCACTTCGAGTGGCGCATCAAGTACAAGCAGGGGGGCGGAACCAGGTGAGGGGTCTCCGGCCAATGAAGACACCCCCCACCTGGGTGAAAACGTGCCTGCGCTTTTCCAATTTTTTTTAATCGAGCTCTAAAGTGCTAATGATTAGCTAATGTTGAAACATCTCCACATTTCCGGACTCCATCGCCTTCCCGTTCTACATTCTTGGAATCAAGGTCTATTTGCACTAAAGGAAGACTTCGTCAACTGATCCAGTTGTTTTTTCTCCCGCCCTTTTGACCGCAGAAACAGCTCTTGCGAGCAACGTTCTAAGTGTGTATCGCCACAAGATTCCCACTGCGGGCTGTGGTGTGATCCCCACCGAGGGGCTCAGCATGTGCATAAACAACCTACCCATGCAACTGGCCTGTGAATACTTAGCAGTGGACATCGTCATTTGATTACTTAGCACCATGTGAAGATCCAAATTGGAGTCTGATCTCAGTAAACCCTGCGGCGTTTAATCAGCAATCTCGTGCAGTTCCGTAAGCCTGGGGGGTTGCAAGTGAAGGTCACGGGAAAGAAAGGCACAATCAGAAGGGATCCCCCAACAAAGTGGGTTGTCCTCCTCGATGCAACCTATGTTTGGCTCCCAACCTACATCTTCGATGATTTCACCGGAAGTACGTCTTTTGTCAACCTGGGCACCACCGCTCCAACCCAATATGTATGCTGACTCCTCCCACTTCACCACACCCCACCATGGCCTTTCCATCACCCGCAACCTGTCCCAACCCAGTCAGCACCACCACAGGAAACCCCTCCGCCCCACAACACACCTCCAGTTACCACTCCACCCACATCCCCACCTCCTCCTGCGACACCTCACTCCCTTCCGCTCCCTCCCTCTCCTCCCTTCCCTTTTTCATTCTTCTTAATGAGCGCCGATTACGGCTTGGTTGTCAACACCTATGTGTAGTTTGTTTAATTCACTTTGAGTCGAGCATCGAGTACAAGCAGGGGGCCGGAGCCAGGTTGGGGGGACTCCGGCCAATGAACACACCCCCCACCTGGGTGAAAACGTGCCTCCATTTTTTAATCAGTTGAAGGAGACGATTCTGACCTCATCGGCTGTTGTGGCCTGGGAAATCGAAATGACCGGGGATGGACATTGGCTCGTTGAGTTGGACGGCGCGGGCTTGCAATTTTGAATCGGCTGCATGGTGAGCATGCGTCAGAGGATGGTGGGACTTGTTGCCGGGCATTGGATGGAGCACTTGTGCAACTCGATTTTGTCCTCGCAAGTCGGCATGTTGAGTACCTGGATGCTTGGAATGATTTTTGCTTGCCGGTGGGTCTGGATCATAGATGTGTTCACGCCATGGGACGGTTCAGATTGCAAAAACGGACGCCTGTGCACAAAACCGCGAAGTTCAAACTTGAGAGAGGAGGGGGGTGAACGAAAGGTAGCAGGGAATCAGGCGTAATCCGGGAGGAGGTGAGAGGCCCCCCACGGTTGTGTACTGGAAAAACGCAGAAAACCGTGTAAATACCAGCGTTTTCTGCCGGGAAGGTGCACAAAACCCTGTAAATACCATAGTTTTGTGCACTTTGAAGCCTCCAAAAGCCTCAAAAACCCGTTCCGACAAAATCTTTCTTGGCTTTTGGTTTTTTTCGGTCATTTTTCTAACCGAGACGCATCAAAAACCATCGGTTTTTGCGATGTTTTTTGCCGGACAGCCACAAAAAACGCTGTAAATTCCATGATTTTTGGTCACTGTTGAGGACTGGAAGAGCTGAAAACACTGGTATTTACAGTGTTTTCGAACCGTTGACCCCGAGGCGCGCCAGGGTGGAGTTGAAGGGGGGGGGCCCAGCAAACGAAGATGTTGGGGACCATTTCTCAGTGAGATGGGCTCCAGCTCTGGGTATAATACATTTTTGCTAAAGCAAAAGGAAAACTCAGGGAGCGTAACCGCTACCTTTCGTGACATTGGAAACCTTTGTTGGACGAAAACGGTGAAGCAACCCGTTTTCAAAATACACTGCGGCGTTCGGTTTGTGAAGGCCAGAACCCAACATTTGCAGATGTGGAACAGTGGTTTCATGATGCTGGATTGGACGGTGGTACAAAAAAGGTTCTTCGTTGTCGGCTTCAAGCTTCGCCTTTTTTGTTGGACCTACGTCGGCGCCGCCGTTTGGAATCTTGCAACGGGGTGGGATGGGACCTTAGTTTTCAAATTCGGAGGATGCAGCGGATGGAAATCCGACAGTGGAAAACATCTTAAGTCAATGCATATCTGGGACTCTGCCAACTTGAAACTTATGAGGACGCACATCCCAAGGTCAGTTGCCCACAAAGTCACGGTGCAACCCCCCGTGGAACAATTCGCAGATATGTTGGAGGCTTTGTTCCACGGCACCCCGATTGAATCCCAACAGCCAGATGATTTGAACGAAACACCATGGACAATGGCAGAATTGGAG